AGGAAAGCATTATTCGACGCATCAACTAACTTATGATGTGGTTATATATTCATATGTGAACATATATATGTCTTTAATATTACTCGGTTCAGTTAATAGATTAAAACTAACATAACTTAACTTTAAAAATCTTTACTAAAACAATTAATAATAAGTGCAAAATTAATGATATTAATCCCATTAAGAGAAATTATGACATTATAATCAGTTAAGTGTCCAAACGTACTCAAATATAAATCGTGCAATTTTGGTGAAGGCGCCGGAAAAAGCGTTTCATGCACTGGTCCAATTTAGAAATCCCGTAGAAATTGCGTCCGTATCCAGCAATATCGGGGCGTCCTGCTGCATCCAGAAGTTCGGCCGCTATTGCACAATTGAGATTTCAGAAATTCTCCGGCCGCCCGGTCGCCCTCAAATGCCGAAATGGAAAATCGTTAGACCGTGTTGCTTCCCAGTCCTGCCTCGCTCGGTTATCTCTACCATTCACGAGCAGGAAACATTGGCCACCAAGAATACTACACCAGGCAGTGAAGTAGAAATACCGTTTTTAACGGAGGATATGTGAAATTGTTTAAAAAAAATATATTCCACTGAATTTACAACAAATTTTTACTGAGATTACGTTAAATTTCGACGTTATATATAGAAGATATTTCTGCAAGTTTTGTATTTCATATTTGTTTTTTTTATGATATTTTTTTGTATTGGCAGTCAAATCGAATACGTCAAACTCCCTTTTTCCCTTTATTTTCCAATACAACGTCCTATTAGTTGTGGATTTTGTTGGATTTTTTTGTCAACGCAAATTAATCCCTTTTTTTTCAGTTTCCATTCAAGTTTTTTTTTAAACAAAAATTTTTTAATATAATCTCTTTATCAATTTCATTCCACTTGGATGACTATTAGAATAACAAATTGAATGCGGACTTTTCAAATTAAAAGAGTTGTGCGTTCAAGTCCGAGGGTGGTAGTCTTTAAGCGGAGTTTGAGATAAGGCTATCGTTGTCCTGCGCTTGCAGGACCGGGTCCATTATTCACTGCGCGTTTCCGTGCCATGAAACATGCACGCGGTTTTCAGTTTATCCGGTCCGCGGCCACCGAAACAGATAATGAAGTTGAAAAACGTCCTGGGCAATTTCCGGTTGATGAAAGATACACGGTGGTAATTTTGACTTTGTTTTTAATAATTTCATCGTTGGAACGGTTAAAAACGTAGACGCAAAGGAAAACTCGTTAACTCATCCTATTTCGCTGGTAGCGGATAATTGAACAAATGTAGTCAATTACGCTAGGTACTTAGTTTGCGAATTTCGCCGCACTAAATTTAAATTGGTTGCCTCGGTACAACACAAGTTTTCTATTTGCCAATCTAACTTCCGGTACCGTTCTTCGTGGTTCAAACGTCGCACACTAAACGGAGACGGTGCGTACCGACAGACGTAAGATGCAAATTCTCTAATAAATTATAACCAAGCGAAACTCGTTGCAAACGCGATCTTGTTTGCAAGTTTATTAAGCGGCATAGTAATTACTTCGTTAACGGTGGCCCCAAAATAATTTTCTCTACTCCCTCAGGTTGTATCCCACAATCTTTAAAAATAATACATTTCTAATTGATCAATTCATTATGGTAACAATTTAGTAGAACCGAGATAGATATCAAATGAGCATCCAATTAACTAATTACACGTTCGCGTAATGTTACAATTAGGTGTGCCGCAGACGCGAGACTATTGTGATTTAAACTAATGTTTACGGGAGCGAAAATTGGTTGTATCGGTGTCAGATTATGCGAATATTGGGGAGGCCAATTACTAACTGATGTAGTTTTCCGTTAATTGTTGAAAACCAAACTGTTTTCCACTAATTCGTTCTATTACAAATAAATCCCAATTTCAAAACAATTATTAATTTAAAAGTGTTGTTGTTAAAACAAATTCAATTTTTAATATGAAAGGTGTTTTTGCGTTTCAAGTTTACGCCTCTTTTATTGACAAGCTCGTTTAACCATCGAACGTTGGTGTGCCGATGAAGCGTCACGTATTCCTTTGAAGCAACTCGTGTACGTAACAGCATACGTTGGGCAAATTTAGAGCCGTTAGGCCGATAAAGCGGTTAATTGCAGGGACCAAGGTACGTTTTCGCGCAAATGAACCTTCTATTAATCACTAGGCTTATTATAAGCTAATCGATCGAGTGCAAAGAAAACCGAGCGCTTCCAATCGGGGTTTGTAAGTGGGTAAACTAATTATAGGGGCTGTGCACGTGTAGGTTGGCTTAATTGCACGAGCTCTACACACAGAGGAAGGATTATAAGTACATTAGCAGCTTATGAGAAGGTCTGCGTGACTTCCATTAGACGAGAATCTCTCCAGGTGACGACGACAATGATGACGCCTTTTTCGGCTTTATCCTTAATTCCTGATGGTTATTCATAAGCCGACTTGACGCTGGAACCTTTAGTAGTTTGAGACTCGGCCACGAAGTGACTTTGCATTTAATTCAACTGATTATCCTAGAACGAAATTACCAGGTTAACTAGAAAAGACGTCGTGAAGTTTCCACTTCAATGAAAGCGGAATTGGTAGCTAAATTGTATCACCTTGTTCACCCAGATCCGGAAGTTAAGTAAAAATTTTATGATCGTCAAGTTTTTGTTATAATTTAAGTGTGAAAAGTTTTATTCTCCGGCAGTTTGTTGGTGGTGGTTTTAAGAATTACTCCGAGTTCGTTAATGGCTTAAAAAAGCACGCGGCAGTCGGTTATCGGGGGATTTCCCGCGCCATTACCACATAATAGAAAAGGGGGCTTGATGAACCCCGAGTAATAAATCTCACAACGCCCCGGTTTATTTAGCGACCGCAACAAAGTTTTTATCGGGGACCTGCCAGTTATAAAAGTCGAATCATCTTGCAGTTTGTAAAAAACTTACTCAATACAAATTAAATATTGATAGAAACTCGATATTTGTGTTTCATAAAAGTTTTTGATGCTTTAGATGTTGTTCCATTCCAAAAGTTTCACAATTTAAGAAAATACCGGTTTCCTGTGTTACAACATTTATCAATAGAAGTAACATGTGTACTTGAATAATTGATGCTATTAATCTATAATACAATATACCCTTAATTTTCAATGTAATCCACTAAGATTAGACGCCTGATGTCCTAATTTACCCATTGGGAAAGCCGGTAACTAATACACCATTCCAATCCAGATAATCTCCCCATAATGCAGGTAATAATTATAATAATAATTCAGTGACCATAATCCAATAAGCAGAATTTAAGAGAAGATGTTAAGTTCAATTTAGTAAGAGCTACAGAAAAGTAAATTAGGTTATTATCTCGTTATAAATCGTGCTAATTATCCTGCAGATTTTGCCGTTGGGGTTGTGCTATTGTTTCGTAGTCCCTGTTTACGTTTTGCATTCGATGAAGAGCGCGACTATTCGCGCAATGGTTGAAAGTAGAAACAAAAGGGCGCTCTCGGCGTAGAAAATATCTCATCAGCGATTGCGAGAGGGAACCCTTAGCGCCCTAAATTTCCACTGGAACAATTACTGTTAAGGATTCAGCTGGGACGACGCTCTCGACGCTGATTGTTTCGCGCACAAAGGCCCATACTGCGACGGGACCATAAATACAAGAGGAACTGGACCGGAAGGAAGAGGCTCACGTAAAACTTTCGCCAAGTGCTCGACCAGATACGATATTTTATGTATGTGACCGGGCACCGGTGTTTAATGAAAATAAAATCCCTCAGTTTACGATAGGGCTGAGAGAACGTTTCCAGCACACAAAAGTAGGTGTAAAGAGAACGAATTTGCCCAAGAATACGAAACTAGCTTTTCGTAGACTTAATTTAAATGGCATAGTCACGAATCCACTATTATATAAATCATAACATCGATAACACGAACCTTAAGGATAGTGCCTGGCACAAGGTCTTCAATAGTAAGAACAAATTCATTGTAACGTTTCGAAATCATGCAAATATTGCATGTAAACGAAATCCAATTCCGAACGCTCCAACGATTAATGTTCGTCGGGTTATCGTTTGTAATTTTGACCGGAATTACATGTTTACGCGATATTTATCCTACAGGCTTTCCAGGCAACAATAACATTTCCGTACAAATAACGAGATTCCATTAAAAAAAAATACAAACACAAAATCACTCTACAAACAAGTTAGCCAGATTATGTGGATTTCAGTTCAGTTTTGCACTGGATATAAAAAAGTATTAAAAAAAGTTTTGCTGCAACCGGTTTTATTATTTTCATTCATTTAAAAGTAATAAATTTCACCCAGAATTGCCGCAGTAGAGTTGCAGCTACATAATTTAAGTGTATTATCAAGATAGCAGGTGTACAACATGCCGTCGAACCAATCTGTTCCTATAGATAACGCGATTAAAAAGCAGGTGAACAACCTCGAGCAAACAGGATCGACATCTATCAACAATGTTACTGATTTTCTGAAGTTATGTTTGCCAGAATAGAAGAAAATGACGACCAAGTAAACAACTTGTGGAGGAGCGGTGAAACGTCCTTCAATCTTTCCGGTTTTGTTAAGAAATCAAGTTTGCATACGTGTGGGGAAAAGCCTCGTTTACTTCTCCTTGTTTAAAAGTGACAATCTGAATGGACAAAGGTGCGAAATGTTTACCTACCTATCACGGTGATTTACAACTGCGCAAAGACTAGGCATTCTAATCAAAATTTAAATTTTGTTATAACTGAAACACGAAGTAAAGCATACATAATTATTTTATACAAACCATAATTAAATCTAAATAATGGTACATCAAAAAAAATGAAAAATAACATCTCATTACGTAATACGTTAAAACAATGTGAATTTCCCACGAAAATAGATTTAATTAGCCGCGTGTATGCACTTTAGTACACGCAAAACCCGTTGTATACCCACCCTCTTGGTTAAAATAAACAACCATCCCATGCATCGCGTAATTAACCACTCTTCTTTGTTTCCAGGGCCAACTACCTATGTTTCGGGTTGCAACCCGTTTGGTTCCACGTGACCAACGTCGCCTTGCATCTAGTTGCTTGTGTCCTCTTCACGAAGGTGTGCAGTTCCGTAGCGGGTTTAAAGCCGCCCTTTGCCACCCTCGGGGGTCTCCTTTTCGCCGCTCATCCTGTGCACACGGAAGCGGTAAGTTTATTTCCAACTACGTAAATATCCTTTTTGTAATTCAATCCACTTTAGTGACTGATGGTGACATCTACCACGCCCATAAATATTGTCGCGGAGAGCATTAGCCCAGTTACATCCCCTTTCCAGGTTATAAATAAAACGTCCTCATAACGTAAAACTGAAGGGGCTATTAGAGAAAAACGTTTCCAAATTGAATATTTCATCGGCGACGCGGGGCGTCGCCTTCGATTGCCGCTAGAAGCTTTCCGCCCTTAAAATGACAAAGGGGAAGTGCCACGTATGTCACCACAGCCGCCCCCCTCACTTCGCAATGAGGGCTTCTCAGCCGGTTTCGGCAATTACCTTGTCAAGACCCGGGCCGTATTTTATAATTTGGTTTTCCACCCCATTACTCCTTTCAGAGATTTTAGCGGCTGCGAGTCCGACCACCCCACTTTCTCCACCATCCCCGTGTCAATTTTGATTAAGTTAAGCCCGAGGGAAGAATGCAAGTGACCCAGGAGCTAATCGCGTCCCAGAATAAAATTACCAGGCCGTATGAATAAGGATGAGGAAAGGCACGTTATTTTTACGTTACCGGTTTCTTTTTCACAGGGACCACTTAAGGGATGAATATTTATGGCAATAATTATACACGATTGGGGGTTCAATTTCTAGTAGACTGATAAAATTATTATTTTGTGATAACTTTATTCCTCGTACACATAGTTAACGATAAATATAGACCTCAGAAATATCTCTTTTAAATTTGGTTATCGACGGATGGAAAGTATAGGTGCCATGGCATTATATTCGTAAACCACAAATTATAAGTATTATTAAAACTGAATAACTGTATTTTCAAATAATATAATAAAGGAGAGGAAGCGGCCCTTAAAATTATAGACCATCTTCAAGCTAAAAGTCTAGAGTTTATTTTATTTCAAATAAAAATTATTTTAAATTTATTAGTTTATGCAGGAAGTTGCTTTAGATTTAACTAAAATTGTGGTAAAAATTAAAAATTACTAAAAACTCTCTTATCCGAAAAGGGAATTTTATAAATTTTGTTTTATTTTAGATAAACATTATTCCAAATTTATTACTTATTACTGCTTTATTATATAGCTTTAGAGTGTACGATAATTATCGATGAATAAATAATTTAGTTATTTCCATAATTAAATACATTTAGAGTGGTCTAAGACCGATAAATTATTGACAAGTTCTGAAAGTGGGGCTTTCTTGCTTAATATTTATAAATTAAATATTGAGTTAAAGTAAAGTTAATATTACAAACATTATAAACATTATAACGTTATAACATTACAAAAGAAAACTTCATGGTATAATTAATGTTTGTAAACAAAACTTACCTTACCTAACATTCCTTCACGGTCTAATTGTCATTACAAAAGAAAACTTCATGGTCTAATTGGCATTACAAAAGAAAACTTCACGGTCTAATTGGCATTATAAAAGAAAACTACCGGTCTTAACATTTTTTCACGCTTTAATGGGGTTTCAAAAGAAAACTACCTGTCTTACATTCCTTCACGGTGTAATTAACATTACAAAAGAAAACTTCATGGTATAATTAATGTTTGTAAACAAAACTTACCTTACCTAACATTCCTTCACGGTCTAATTGTCATGCTTTAATGGGGTTCCAAAAGAAAACTAACCTTACTTAACATTCCTTCACGTATGATTGACGTTTGTAAACAAACCTAATTGCTCAACTTTTTAGCTAAAAGATCAACATCAAGATTGTTAGATTTTTTGGATCTATCTTTTAGTTAAATAAACAATGCGTTTATTTAATGTAATTTGAATGAAATTTGTAAATTTCGAATAGAGTTCCATGTTCGATTTACGCATATACACCATTTATTAAAGTTGGGCAAAGCTACAATGTTATTAATAATGGTTACTTGTATGGTAAAAACATAAACATTACGATTTTAATACGCTTTTAACGTTATTAACCTTTAAATTAAATGATTACATTCCAACAAAATGAATTACATTCGATTTTTATGAAAAAAAAAATAATAATAATTATGATGAATGAGTTAATTTTCTATAAATCAATTTCAACAATAGTTGATATTGATGAAATTGTACCTATTGAGTACGATTGAGTAAATTTAAAAAAATATTATTAATAATGTTAAAATATGAACGCAGTGCAACACAAAATTAGATATTTATTAAATGTCTATAAATTATTAATATAATATGTTTGATATAACAAATATTATTCTCTAATATAAACTAGCATTGTTTAAAACATTAACGATGCGAACTGAGCGAATTGGTGGTTAAAGTTGATTAGTTGTTAAATCGTTGATTTCGATATTCCATTTGTAGCAATTAGTTGATAAGCTTTTTCGATGTTTTTTTAGTGTGTTTGCTTCAGTATGCGTGACTCATTTTGTAGGCAGGAGTGTTTTTATTTATGCAATTATTAATGCTAACTAAAAGGCAAAAAGTCCAATTCATTATGAACCAAAACATAAATTTATTCGTTGGAATAATCGTAAATTGTTTTAGAAAAGTAATTGAAAATACCAATTTAAGCAAAGAAATTTGTTATCATAACCTTAAAATTATCTGGTGACACGAATAAGCTTTTTAATTTAGAGCTGCGTACCTTGGAAGAGGTAAGAGCAAGAGCTATAATTCTTAATTACCCTCAAAAACTGTCCCGCTAATTCGAATATATATACGAAAATCTGCTGGTGACCTAGTTTGAGTTGGGATGCAGCCGGAAAATTCGAGATTTAAAGTTCTAACGTACCTTATCAATGTTCCAAAGTTGTCGAAAGAAAGAAATATCGAAGAAAGCTGATTGAAAACGCGAACGCTAACGAACGAGCGCCCTCGGATTTTAATTATTCAGGTTCGTCTCCGCCCAGGAGCCCAGATGGAGAGATGTCACTTAAATTAGTTTATGCAAATGGGGCTGCCATTTTGCTACGTCATCTACTGTAATAACTTTTTTCGCTAGCTTTCCGATTCGATTCGCATCTCAGATGTGGAAAACTTTTAATGATCCCGTCACTGAGCCAGGATTTGATCGGATAACAAGTGACTGCAACCCGCGTTGCCAGGGGGCGTTTTTATTAATTACAAGTCCATCGTAATAAATCAGCTAAAAGCTTGTATAAGTTTAGTTGATTTAAGAGTGTGTTTACTTTCTAAAGTTAAAAGGGGAGCGCTTTAATTACGAGTGTCGCATCCAAAATTGAACAGGAATCGGGGCGGGGATGCTTTAATCGTTACTGGGCGCTCCCCAGCAAAAGTTTTAAGTACTACAGGAGCGGCCGCTAACTATAAATTAAATCGGTAATTAATTTTTAAAGTTTAATGAATAGCCTACGAGATCGAACGATTTATCACTGTGCCGACTTGGTGGCGCCACCAGCATCGCGGCTCGGAAATTTGGAAATATCTCCGAGGATTTTTTATATATGGACGTGGTTTATGCCAGAATTTTTCTGGCTAGAGTCTATCGGCCGCAATTTCCGAATATATTTCGCAAATTCCGCAAAGTTAATTTAAAGTTGGAGAGACGGCGCTGTAAAATTTTTCATCGACGCGGCGTGCCCCCATAGCGTCATACATTCCATCGAGACCGCCCCCGAAGGGTAATATCGGTTTTATCACCTCCCGAACTTGAATTGCCAAACTTTCCGAAAATTATTCGACGTAGTACACCTTCCTTGTTTAGAGATTTGCCCCTTTCGAACGCATTTAATGCTTCAAGCACCTTTTCAAACAAAGGAAATTGAGACCATCAATCACCAACCCACGCTTTAAAGGAAAGTTCAAACCTTGACACACCATTACAAGATATCCAATCTTTCACCCTCCCTTTTGTTCCCACCACACACCCACACGCAAACACGACAATAATATCAAACCGAAACGATAATTTAATATCGCGTACCTACTCATTTCTAATTGTGTCTGGATTCCAATTTAGAAATCCTTTCGCTATCGTACACCATCATCCTGACAATTAGACGTCGATATTGGATATTGAATGGATGCACCCGTTCTATCCCGCGGGATATAATGTAGAGGGCGCACTTCGCGAAATAGCTCGTACCATGCATGGCCGTGTTGCGCTACGTTTTGCAATATGTTATACTTACGCTGACCTACATTGCTGGCGGTATTATTAAGCTAGTGCACCATACAACTATACCAACCAACCTACTAAACTAGTAAATATACGCCGGGCGTTTGGGAATAATCATAACTCTTCAATTCATATTGATATTTTATCACAACTCTGCGATAAATTGCGTTTGCGTAGATATAATCTTCTTCTTTTACATAAAAATTTTGCATTGTTGAAAATAATGGAAATGTTTCGACGTGTTCAGTTAACGCACGAAAGATTTTGTGTTAGTAATCTATGTCTAAAGGCGCTTGTGCTAGCGTTTTAATATAGCTCCTTGGTCGCAAGTGATCACACCTAAAGTTTTTCACATCCAGCAATAATATGCTCACTTTCATATGAAATCCACCAGCCACTAAAATTCAAACGGCATATATTAAGATATGCCAAAGATATTGGAAAAATGTTAGTTTATTTGATTGTCAAACTGTCAAGTAGACGCCTTGTAATGCCCCCAGTGCGACGTCGTTTTTGCCCATATCAATGACTTTGATAGTGATACTTTCTAATTCTTAATGGTTGATGTATTTCATGTGAAAGTGAATATATAAATGCAGTAATTAAATTGACCCAAAAGATTACTACTTAACAAATAGGAAAGAAAATAAAACAAATATATGTTGCTAAGAAGTGATAAATGTGGTATTTAATTAGAAGTTGTAGAGTTATTGGTTGTCGTAACGTTATAATGATGATGAATCTATTTCTTAAGTAATTTTTCATGTTACAAAATACGAGTATAAAGCACATTAAATTGTTATGATGTCCACCTTGATTAGATAGATTAATTCATTCTAGAAGGAATCTAGATAAATAAGTATTATGATTTTTTTCTTTTAATTTTTTATATTCTAATGCAATCTATAATCTAAAAAGTTAACATTTTTATAACTTCGAGATTTATGATGCCTGATAGTAATTTTATTTCTAAATAAAACATATACAGGTAGACCATTTATTTTTTTTTATCGTGACATCCTCACTCGGATGTGAACAAATTAAGCGATTAATCAACTTTGACCTAAATCTCGCCCCTACCGTGATTGCTGACGGATAGATAGCGCTCTTGTAGTACATTAGCGAACACAGGCCGCCGAGTTAGACAACGTAATTAATCGAGTTACCTGGGAAGCCCTACTCGTATCTATTTCTGTCAGCGTTCCCTTAAACCTGGAAATTGCGTACTTTTTTATATTATAGTAGTCCCGATTTTAATCTTCATGTCCACTCGTGCGTACCCTTTCGAAATTTCTTAAAAGATATCTTACCACTTCATCCCGAAATTCTCGGCTTATACAACTCGAAATCCCCCATAATTTTATGAAACGAATCAGGGTTGGATCCAACCCAATGGTGCCGAATTTTACGGCCGATGGGGGGTAGGGCGCGTTAGGGCGGCCTTTATCGCGCCAAACCGAAATGAGCAGTAAAACCGAACACAAAGCGGGGAAAAAATCGGCCGCTTTTTTTTACGTCGCGTTATCTGAAACTGAAACTGGAGCCGAGATCTGAAACATGACGGCCTACGTTCCAATCATTTCTATGCTCTATGTTTGACTGACGCTCGATATGCTATTTACATGGACAAAATTCGAGCCAGAAATCGGAGGCTGTATATTTCAGCTGTAAAAGAGTAAATTTTGATTAAATCTAAACTAGTTATGGATGTTTTAAAATTGAATTTAAACGTTGAAGAATGTTTTTGAAAACGTAATATTTACTGGATTGGTAACAATACCTTCCTAACTCCGAGATTGAGCTTCGAGGGTTTTGCTCGAACACTAACTAAGTTAACTCGCTATCGAGATCAGATAAAGTTTTATTAAGGAACGTGTTAAGGCCGTAGTAGCTTATTAGGCGAATTTCATCTCGTATATGATCTATGTAGCATCCAACCCCTGATAGACATCGGGGTCGTAACCCCGCAGATTTATATCCATTACTTACGCGTTCCCGCTCATCCCCAATCTAAACTTTACACTATAATTGTGTACTTAAACTAATAACGCGGCCGGTCCACAATAGAGGGCGGCGGGAGTCCCGGATAACTTCCGGAGTTAGTTGTTTAGGATACAATTTGCGCGAGTGGGTAAAGTCGGGTTTACGAAAACTTCATGGTTCTTGTATTGCCGAGGAACTAGGTATTCTTGGACGATTCCAATAACGGGGAAGCGAGCCAGGAAATCCTAAAATCACAACACCTGGAGCGCGGGTTGGAATCTAGGTCAGCATTGTGGGCATTAATCTAGTTGACATCGGCTGTCCTGTGAATCCTGCAGGCATTGTGCGAGGTCTTATCGGCTACCAACGTGCCAGAAGCACTTTACCAGTACACGCCATCCAAATTGGCCATGGATAGACGAGCAATTCACACAATCCTATCGAGTGGAGGTTAAAGCGAAACCTGCAAGCTACATGATAACACCTTTTATTGTTGCAGGTTACCGGGATTGTCGGCCGAGCGGATGTTCTAGCCTGCATATTCTTCTTGGTATCCTTCCTGGCTTACCACGGGTACGTACAGTTAACCAAAACCCACTTGTTTTCAGACCTAAATAAATCTTTCCGCATCCTTCAGTAGGATACAAGAACAACGGGCGCTAAATAATTCGTGGAACAGCTCCGCTGGGAAATCTGCGTTTTAATTATTCCCCTCCGCTGAAAATTACGGCCGCAACGCTGAAATGGCTTTTCAGTCACCAAAAAATTCCCCAAACATTTGTTATGCATTTTTACCTATTCCAATTTACAACCGAGCGACACGCACTCTTTCCCTCCGAAAAACGCTTAAATCATTCAAAGTGGAAAAACGACGATGAGCTTTTTTTTCAATTCCACCCGACGAGTATTATTTATCATCACGTGTATTGCCGGGCAACACCTGGGAAATCGCATGTATAAACTTTCCCGAAATAAATACTTCACGCGTTTAAATTTTGCATACCACCGGAAGCGGACTTGAATTCCACCGCTACACCGCCTACACAATTTATTACACTGACTTGAACGCTAATTGGAAAATATATAGAGCAGTGTTTTTTTTTAAAGAGTACAATTTTTATAACCGGGTTAATAAATTTTTAAAATACGGTTTTAAAGCCTATTGTAATATTGGAAACGAAAACTGTAGGGACTCCGATATTAAATGCGCAGATTTCAAGAATTGGTTTAAACCGATCGATTCCATAATATTGGTCGCAGTTGAAACTGCCGGAGGATGGTAATATTTTTTATTGTACCGGGTCAAAGGGCATGAATAAAATATAAAGTGCGCCGTGAAAAGGACCGTCCCCTGAATAGAAAACTAAGCCCCGAAAGTCCGAAGTTATTTTCTATACGTCCTGGGCAGATAGTCAATAAACGTCTAGTGGCATGGCTAAAGAATAATTTACCCCTCGCAGAGAGGATACCGCTCCAAATTTATTTCGTTTTATAACGCCCCCGGAATCCACAAGTCACTGCTCTAAAGCGAAAGAGAGCAGGGTTAACAACGCGCGGATCTCTCACCCCTATTGGAGTGAAAAGATAGCAGGGTTTCTTCTGGAAGTTTCAACGGTACACGCCAATGACGGGCAATCCATCAATTTCACGTGTAACGACCGATCCGAAAAAGTTGGAGATACACCAGGACCATTCTTCAAGAACCAAGCGCCTTTCGAAAGCACTTTATTGACTTATGAACTAAATGGAACATTTATAGCAGGACTGTAGCGCTCTTTAGCGGAAGCGTGCGAAGATTGATGCACCAAAACCTTTAACACCGTAAACATTTCCAAATTCACACTAATTATACGATTCGACCGTTTGGTGACTACAAGACATAAAAATGAAACGACCTTTCACTCGACGCATACCGGCGGAATTTACATTTTCAATTTCCCAGTCACGGTCGGTTTTTCCGGGTTCCCGTCAAAATTCGTGAATGCAAAGCAGATCATCGCCAGGCGAAAGTAGGTGGGGTACTTTTTTTCACGACACGGGGATTTTTGAAAAGACCACCCCGACAGAAATGGGATTCTCTACTCTCCCGTCAAGACGGTTTATAAATATTTTCCGAGATTTTCTCAACAGTAATGTGACTTCGATTCGATTCCCATTCGAATGGTATTGTACTTATAAGCAACAGGATTACGGTGAAAATTTATTTAACCTTTCAAATTTCAAATATCATTAAATATATTATATAATGGTAACAAGTACATTAGTAGTGTTAATATAGTGAAGTGGTTTTGATGGTTGCCATGAAGAATGATACTATCAAGATCAGAAGCATATTATCATAGTCTACTAAATACTGCAAGACATAGAAAACATAATCAATACATAGTGTGTCTATAAAGACATGGTGCATTTTTGACCGGTCACAGGAAAGCAGCAAAGCAAGTTGCTTTCTTCTTAAATCTTCACCAAATAGAAGGAAAACTCCACTAGTTTTCCTAGTATGATATGCAAGGGTATGCGCGCAGAGATGAAGATGCAACACCACGAACTGCGCAGCAGCAGATCAACCCACACCAGTCGAGATGTGAATTCTGTTAGACAAAGCATTAAACTAAATTAAACTTCTTTTCCATTTCCACTTTTTTATTATTGGATTTTCTTAAGTTCTTCAATGTTAATGTTAAATACACGATTCAGCTCCATTACAGAATGATTATTCGGCTCACCGATTGTACGAATTACATTTTAATTTCATTAATTTGTAATTGTAATCAACACATGGTGTTTATTTAACTAATTTATTTTTCCAAGATGTTCGAGATGGAAATTCCTTAAAAATGAAGAAACAATTTTTCTATTAAAATATAGGTATGTCGACGATTAACGAAAGATCGCAGAGAATTTTCAATTCAGCTCTATCTAATTGGTTCTGGAGTCGCGTAAAATATTTACGATAAGATGTATTTAAGGGCTTTATTGGAAAAGGGGGTTCAAGCTGGCGTAATTTGCTTTGTTTGTAAACTGCGATTTTCAGTTTTGAAGCGGCTAATTTGGGTTGAACTTCAAAGGTAGCCCTAGGCGGGTGCATTCCGAAATTCGTTTTGCCGGCCTTTAATTCCTTTCCGGGCGTTGTTATCGTTTGCTTTTCATCTTTTAACGGGTACAGTTTTATCGCACCCGATCGACTACGGGACAATTGGAGAAACATCAAACCTCTAGAAATCGTTAAAATTTAATTAAGTGGAAACACTTAAAGTAGTCCAAGTGGCGGCTAATTAACAGCGAGCTTTCCGGGGAGAAAAAAGCTTTAAGGAAGTGGGAGTTCTGTCTGGACTCAACTAATTAAGATTGTATCGATCGAAAGTTGAGGAAAATGGTGAACGAATGTAATTCCATTTCAGTATGGACCAGTTCAAAGGGGACTATTTGCATTTTATGATTATACACAAACAAAACGACGTCGAATTACTTTTAAATCGACGGCTCAAACTCTTTACCCCCCGATGTCGGGTTTTCCATCTGGGATAATTGAAAATCGGTCTCTGGTAACGGGATTTTGTACTCGACAAGTACAGACTCCTGCTTTCGTCATATTTTCCAGTGGGTAATAAAACGAAGAAGGATGTAATCCAATACATGCGGGAACGTCCCTAACAAAAAAGGACAATATTCGCAAGCCCTTGTAATAAAATCGATATAAAAGCAGAGCGTGTGTTTCAATACTTTGTCTACTTGTTCGTGAAGTATTTCACGAGCCCGAAACGAAGTTTACTCGGGTAAATTCGGCTTCGTTTTTCGAAAAACCTTCTCACGCTTGAAACCCTTGTTATCTGTCCCCGACAAACGATGTAAATTGAAGCCGAATTTAATATAGAGCCGACGAAGTATGAAAAACTCGACAAAACTATGTTAGGGTCGGTCCGAAAGTCCAGGATATTAGGAATCAGGGCGCGTCCCGCAGGAAGTGAACTTTCGTCCGCATTTCTGCCCGTCCACCAGTTTATAGGCGAATAATTCGGTCCCGCCCCAAGCGAATTCAACCAAACTTTCGCGCGATAGCAAAAAACCGAACGGGAATTCCAAATATGAAATTATCGTCGGTTTGCGACCGCAGAGTTACCGAAATCAAATTGAAAACAAACACGAGGACGACCCGATACGGCAGCGAAACTAGCGCAAACGTGCTAGTTTATTCAACCCTGTTCCATCTCGGAAATCCAACGACACGTTTCGAGAACAAAGGGGCCATCCGGTGCCTGCACGAGGATTAATAAGTATCCTGGGGGGATGGCAACGCAAAAATTTAGCGCTACGTCCAACGTGTTTGACTCGTCTTCATTAAGCCGGGACAAACAGCAATTTTTGTTCCACGTTCTTTAGGGACCTCTAACCAAAAGTCTTTCTTTATACACTATTTTCAGCAAACAAGACCCTGGTGTGTACCAACAACAAACACGTTCTTTTACATTTTTACCTAATTCACCAACAAAAGATTAAGATTAGTATAGTTGTCTAAACTACATTTTAGACTTAATTTCAGTACATCCTCAATTCCAGGACGTTCTAAATCGATCGATGACCGATAATTAGCAGCTTCGATTCCGTTTGTGTGCTAAAGCTAAATTGGCTGACGGTGGATATGTGTAACGGTTGAATATTAATGTCGAAACGCATATATCCTCGCCTCTGTATATTGTCTTCATTATTAACAGTATTAAACGACGGGCTCTAAATCGCCGCAGCCACCGTTTCCAGCTTTCTAATTACACATGCATCAACTTCCGACCTCCCCAATAGCGAGGCTGGTAATCTAAAAGTTCTTGTATGCTTGAAACTTTTAATTGGACCGCTGCTGTGCGAAACGCATTCGCAAAAAAAGTCAAGCAATCGTCCACTATAGTCGACACAGAATTTTCTCAGTTTAATTTTTAGCCCTTTAAACTCAATTTTTTTGCTTTTCACTTAAAACAGTTCATTTTTTTTATTTTGCAGGCGATACGATGGAAGGTGCTACATTTGGACCAGCGTAATTCTAGGAGGTTTGAGCATGCTTGCAAAAGAAACCGGGATAACTGTGTTCTTTGTCAACATAGCTTACGATTTGTACAAGAATTGGCCTAATTTGAGGAGGTAATTAATTGTTTTTAGCTAAATTGGGTGTAATAGAAAACAAATATACCGTAGTAATGAAAAGGGGTTGAATACAAAATCAGGTTTAAATTGAATCGGGGGCTATCTCGAAGATAATCGCCTCGCAAAGCGAGTACAATCCGTTCGCAAACTCCGGGTCCTGGATAATATGCCGAGATACATTCATAGCGACTTCAGAACGGTATCAAAGTAATATCCCGTATCGCGTTACAATAGAATTTCAGATGCCCTTAAGGTATCGGACCTAGTTTCTCTTCAGAGAGGAAGAATGCAAACTAGCTCTTAAGCGATCTACGATGAATAGAAGTATTGTTTTTGTTTCATTTAACGGTTATGTCGAAAGATTCTATCAAGACATCTTGATAACTTTGTTTTGTTCTCGTTTTAGAACTGTTACGGAAGTGAGATGGAGTAAAGAAACGCAATTGTTCGTCAAGAGGGCGTGCAAAATGGTGACGTCGGTGAGTTTGCTTGAAATTTAATACTTAAAACAAAGGTGATATTCCAAAAGCTACTCGTTTCGATCCAACGCAACTAATTAAAGAGTTCTTTTTACGGCCGTCCAACGAATTTCCATAAAATTAAGCAGGACAAAGGCGCGTCGCGGGAAATTTCAATTAGAAACTGTTTCTTGCCGAAAAAATTACCCGCCTTCGAGCCAGCGAGGGTTGTCGTCTACATCCTAATTAAGATTCCCTCCTGGATTAACACGAATTAATTTAATTTTTATTGCAGTTTGGATTACTAATCATAATACGGCTCTCACTCCTTCAAGGTTCCTTTCCCAAGTTTTCAGAACAGGATAATCCGGCGGCTTTCCATCCATCACTTTATGTTAGGTAAGTTTCCAAAATATCATTTTATATTTATATGTTATAGCACATTTCATCATTTTCATAAATCAAGTCAAAGTAGTACTTAAAAATTTAATCATACTGTAAGGTTATGATGTTTTATAACCATAATATAAAGTTTTTAAAGTTGTTAATTTTACATTTTTTAATAGATATTTTTCAGATTAGATTTCTTTCAAGAATTCTCTCCTCAATTTCAAATGTCAAATTAAATAATCGACTTTTAAAAAATATATAAAATGAATCGATGACGCGGGACTCTTTATTGGCTTAAAATGCTTTATTTATGTTGTGAATCTGCAGTCTGGCTCAATATTAATGCCATAACTGCAATGGTCACGTTTTTGGTGTTACTTGAGTTGTATAAAATTTTTGATACAAGTAAACTTTTGGCAACTATCCTCGCCAAAGTTTTGGTATGATGTTCACCTCTGTTTAATTAATTGATGGTCTTGTATATTTTTGTATAAACAAGAATAAAAGAATTAATTTTGAAAGCATGTAAAATTCTTACGCTAAAAGGTTCATGAACTTCTGTTTCTCATAGATTACGCAGGTGACTTCTTTTTCTTTTCATTGCGTAGCTCTGGGAAATGTGTTATCCTCTACCCTGGATTTAACTGCAGTAACGGTAATGCTGGGGATGTTGCGGGTACGTTACAAATGCGTTACAATCTTCAGGGGTTTATTTCTTTGATCTCATCCCTAGTAATCACATTAGTAATACATATCTCGATAACTTAATGAATGTAGTCGAATTTGTTATTTTAAATTTAACTTAACCGACACTATAATGTCTTTTATGTATCATACTAACACCGGGATGATAGAGTTAATACTTGGGATCAAGTAGTAATCCGAAATTTTTGCACCTGGGAACGTAATTCCAGGTTGAAATCCGTAGACACGGAGGTCTCCTCACCAACAAACTTTCGGCGAAACGAGCCGCATTACGAGTTCGAGAACTTTAATATACTGCGTATAGCCCGCGCCAAAATAATATTTACTCACTTCGGTAACCGGATGGCCGAACTTGCCTGGAATAATATTTGCGCGCAATTCCGCGCATTACAAGAGCCCCGCGAGCGAAAATGCCGACATCGGAAATTGTAATTGGAGTCGAAACGTATTATTCTTGCTTCTTGTTTACACGGCGAAGTTGACAGACGACGATTCTCGGTCTCGGCTTATAGCATTTCGTTTCGAAACTTTCAGTAGTAAGCTTCTTTCGTAAGTGAAAACAGTGTAAAATATTGTGAGTGAAAATTCGGTGATATAGGAAGTCGATTACAAAGTATAAGGGGTGAAAGTTGATGGATTTACGGGTTGACCAAAACCGGGTAACTTCGCGACGTTCCATTTAGGTTCACAAAGGACCCTTTAGCCAGTCTGTCGCCCCCGTACATTAAAAGTTTCGACGTCAAACCAGCTTTTGACCTACAAAACGTTTTTCGGGATTCGCGATTGGAACGTTTGGTGAACAAGTCAAGGGAAACACACGATTGTCAAACACTCGAAACGTCCAAATATTCGGGCCATGTCCGAATTGTAGAGCCAATAATGCAAAAAGCCCAAGAGCTTTCACAACGGACCGATTGTTCGTCGTCGAATACACAAAAAAAGAGGTGGGAAAGCTTTTAAACAAATTGCCAGTTTCATTTTGGTGTGCTCCGGGAAGCGGCAAACAATATATCAGCAAATATAACATTTTTAGCAAAACAACTGGTCCCTTGAGGACAATTATCTAAATTACCTATGAGCGGGCAACCCAGGGATTCACACAAGCTTTCATAAATATGATTTACTGCAGTGTCGTGTACGGTATCGGGAACTCTTTTTGTGGTGACACCATCAAAAAGCTTTTTATTTATACGTTTCCCTTAATCTTTGTTCAAATTGAGCAATTTGGCCTTTGAAAGCAGAGTAAACACTTAAACGGCTTAACGTAAATTTCAAAATCAAACAAAGTCCGCATGGAAATGAGCCCACAAAGACAAGAGACGCCCCTTTCTTTTACTCAAGACTTGAAAGGGGGCTTATAAAGGGGGCGACATCGAGATTCCACCGATTCCCATGTCGACGATTTCGTAAAGGGAAAATCCGGTAATGTGTACAAATGGGTCGATCCGGTGTTAAAAGAGCGGTCTCGTCTTTGGGATTAGGGAGACGTATTAAATTAAACATGCGTCGCGAAGTTGCCACCTCCACCGGTACACAATTATTTAGTTTCCCGGTAGACTGTCAAACTAGTTTAATTTCAGTGAAGTTCCGGCGCCCTCTGACCGCGCCAATATGCAAATAAGTTGCTGGCAACTTCAAATTTATGTGTGTTGTTACCATAGAAGGGCTCACCCGTTTCCCCCATGCATGCGTTATCGGGTACCATTAAAAAAAATCTAACCAATTAGATTCAAGTTACATTTCAATTAATGATCATTTTTTTTGCTTTTTTTTAGGATATTAACGTTTTGTTATCTGGCGGCTTTCAATTGGTGGCTACTTTTATGTCCGGCTACGTTATCACATGATTGGCAAATGGGGTCTATACCATTAGTGACGTCCTTAACTGACTCAAGAAATATTGTGACGTTTCTTTTCTTGGGGGTAGCACTTCTTTTGGCGACTCGTTCCCTCATCGATTTTGAGGTAAGTAAATAATCAACTTTGCAAACTTTACATTTTTATTCTAAAATAAATTATTATGCGAACGGATTGAAAGTATTTTGAAAACTTCTTAAAGCATTAGTCCACCATTCAGCTGCTGTTCCAATCGTTTCTTCAACGGGTTTTCTTAACGAAATAATGGGTCCTGGATGGATAAGTCCTTCTGGAGGACAATACATTATGTTCAATTTTTTAACGTCATTTTCTCCGAAACCTTGTCTTTGACCCATTTTAATCCGACTACCATCTTGTCGCATCTAAAATATAAATTAATATTTTTATAAATAAAGCAAGAATATTTATATTCCTAATAATTTCACCAGTTCTTCAATCATTTTAGGGGTTATCGTTGGTTTTTTCCCGTAATCTTTACTAAAAGCGTACATCGAGTAATGCATTACACTCCCAAAATCGTACGGAATTCCGAAATTTGTAACATCCTCTTCGTTTGATCTTTCAAAATTAATCATTCGAGCGGGATTAATGTTGTCGTTCATTATCGCAATATGTTGATCTCGATCGATTCTTGTATGTTCGTGTTTTATCCCTAAAGCGTGCATTAATTCATGTATTGCCGTTCCCCTTCTTTTTGTGCTTAAACAACCAGGATGTTGCAAATTTAACTCTTGTTTTCCCCCTTGTCTACCCAAAGAAGACCAACATCCGGTAAATCCATTAGTAATGTATAAATAATCGTGGTCGAAAGGTTCTTTTGGTCGAAATCTTCAAATTTATTATTTACTCCCCAAAAAGAAATGATTAATAATGATCATACCTAACGCACGTAAGCATATGATATTGATTAATTGCCCATTCTAAAAGATCCAAACCTTCATCATTGTATGGCCCAGCAATTACAAACGGTACTATTCCATAAGGCCAACGAAGGCTTTCGTTTCTCGTAATACTCCTTAAGTTGGTGGTGGTCGTGATAATATCCCCTTGGAAGTAATTTCCAAGTTCGTCCGGATTAACTTCCCAAGAATCGTTCCAACTATTTATAACGGATCCCGAACGAAGATTCGGTTCCGATTCGAATTCTTCTTCTGTAGTAACAGGAAAGGATTTGGTAATATAAACCCATAACCCGAGAATGAAAAGAAAAACTCCCAAGTAGTTCATAACGTTAAAATGTTCGTCTTAAAGAAAAAATGACGCGGATAAGAAGTCGTAAAAATTAAATAGACGATTGTTTTGTGTTTTCTTATCTTTATGGTAGAATAACATTTAACGGCTCGGACATGCTGTTATTATTATAATAGTTGGTTATTATTCATTTTGATGGTTGAAGAAAAAGGAGGAAGTAGGTATGATGGATGAAACGAGAGAAACATTCTCGTCTAATCGGAGATGGAATCGGTATCATATGGTTTCTAAAAGTGGACCGGGCATAAGACCAATCGATCGAGAAGAGCTGAGATTGGAAAAGGAACTAGAAATGTAGCGGAAACCACAGCAACTGGAACCGATTCAATTTCTGCCAACATAATGGGGATTCAGGTTTGAATTCCCACAGCGGAATTAATTAAGAACGAGCATATATTTATTTTATATCTTTAACTCTGGTTTTTGAACGGAAACTATGCTATTGTTATCTTCGTCATAAAATCACTAGGTCCTCATTTGCATTTAGATTAATAAGTTCGCAGTTCGTCTCGTTGATAATTTCCGAACACGCGACAGTTGAGAGTCTGAGCAAATATTAATGGAAACGTCGTGATATTTAACGAAAATATTGTTCCATTTTAATTACGTACGAGGGGAAATAGGAATTTTAATTGATGATAAACAAGTCAGATGGGAAAGGTCGAAGAACGGTCGGAAAACATCCTCTTCAGATTGTGTTTATTCTATCGTAGTATTTTATTCGTAATTAAATTGCTTTATTATATTAAAACTGATGTGCATATTACAGAAAACATTTCAAGCATTATATTAAGCGTTATCAAAAACACTGTTCGTAAAGAATCTTTATAAAATCACAATAAATCTAACAAATCATTATGAATTTATCAACACTTATAAACAAAATTGTGAGCTTTTCAGTAAAAAAAGCTACATTTTAAAACATATTTTAGTTTTTGAGATATCACTTCTTAAATACAATCATGTTTTTACTTATTTTTTAGAGAAAACGTTTTTTTCGATCATCTTCATAAAATCATAATAAATCGGGGATTTAACAAATTTTAGTAAAATTATCAACACTTATAAATAAATTTGCGATCTTTTCAATGAAGTAAGTTACATTTTAAAATACATTTAAGTTTTTGAGATATTCACTTTTAAACAGATTCCTTTTTTTAATTAATCATTAATAACAGCAAGGTTTAATAGATATTTTTGATCTAGTTTTCATTAAAATAAGTTCATTTCAAAAATTTTGTTTCATCCTTAAATTTACCTGAAATGTGATGAAATGCATGACGAGTATCCTTTGTGCCGTTATTTTCGGGTTTGCGAGTTACGAGGACGCAAACATTTTGCCCACGGGGCGGAAGTTAATGCTCTGCAATTCCTCTTTGGCCCAATGCCATTCGCACATTTCCTGAATTCATGAAAAAAGAAACCCGCGGAAAATTCATTTGGGTGGGGAAGTTTAGAGAAAAATCAATACGTATTCGAAACTCAACTAAACCAAAGCATTATATGATGACATATTAAGTTCTATTCGCTTTATAATCTAAATGGAAATTCGATATTAAGTTTTACTCGAGAACATATCGCTAGATTTAGAGAAAGTCTCGTCTTGTAATCTTGTTGATTGATATCTACTGCAAGCAAGTCATAATCTAAACAATCTAGTTGTCTTAGTACTAAGATTAATAACGTAGCTACGTTAGACGATGACACTTGCTAACTGGCAAAGTTTAATTTGTCATAGGAAATCCAGATCTTAATTACTGTCTCCTGTTTTAGGTGCAAAGGCACGTGCCATTGGTTCTGGGATGTCTCTTGCTCATCGTTCCTTTCATGCCAGCGACCAATTTGGTGGTAACGGTGGGCTTCGTGGTCGCAGAAAGAGTCCTCTATATACCGAGGTGAGAATACCTTTGATAATTATCCTTGCATATCTCGTAACTTGTGTTTACAGCACCGGCTGCATCTTGCTCACCGCCTACGGACTCCAATTGATGTGGAATGCGTACAATAAGTACCGTCAAGTGATACAATGCCTCATTGTGTTGCTGTTAACAACGAGCTGCCTTCGCGTCGTCATCAGGAACAAGGACTGGAGATCTCGAGAGTCCCTTTTGAGGTAATTATCCACTTAGTCATTTCGGTCGAACGAAAATTCAATACTGACCACGGAAAGAATTCATTGAATTTCCTTTGTCAATCAAGTTTCGAGGATATACATTCAATAATTTAACAAGAGCACGCAGCGAAGACCTGTGGTCCGCGCAATTTCAACACACTATCGAAAATTGGATTTTAATGAATTAATTAAGCCGGCCCAGAAGGGCTCGATTAAAACCGCTTTATATTCAAGTACCATTAATTTTAAAAGTGCCCTCCGCGCGTCGGTCCGCTAATTGCTACGACCGTTTTAAATATTCCATTGTGTGGCCTCCGCGCAGGACCTAACCAAGGACACAAAGGACAACGCGAAATTGTAACTTTTACGCGCCCTTCTACTACCGTCGACTCCCATCTGCAGCCTTTCCCCTTTTTTCCTTTGTCTTAACTGTTTCTTTTATTATCACTTCTTGTCTATTTCTATTATTTACAGAGCCGGACTTGCTACACTGCCTCACAATGCCAAAATGCATTATAACTTTGGAAATTTTCTTCGAGATTCTGATATGCATGAATTAGCCAAAACCCATTATAGGGCTGCATTAACGTAAGTGTTTAATTTAATTGTAATCTCTAAATAATAATAATAATTTTGTTGTAGGTTATGGCCGACTTATGCTAGTGCTCATAACAATTTAGGAACTTTAATTGAAAGAACTGAAGAAGCTGAGCAACATTTTTTGTTAGCTATAAGATATTCATCGAAACACGTCAATGCTCATTATAATTTGGGACAACTATACAGGTAAGGAAACTACCACACCCCACTTAAATAAACAAATCGATTTAAGTTGGTATTACAGGGTTCTAGAAACCTGTTTGAAACGTTTAATTCGGAATTAAGAGATGGCGCTTTAATATTTTTTTATTTTTTTTAGAAAATCTAATAGATCATATGAATCGGAGGCTATGTTAAAGAAATGTATTCTTTTGGATCCTAAATTTACAGCAGCTTATATTGAGTTAGCACGACTTTGTGGGCCAAATGATCCTGGTGTTGGGACGTTACTAAAAAGAGTTGTGCAGATAAATCCGAACGATCCAAAGTACAAAACGATGTATGCTCATTGGCATCTAGGAAAAAGGAATAGAATTCAAGCTTTGAAGTATTACTGGAAAGCTTTGGCTGTTTCACCAACGTACACTGAAGCTATGATGGGAGCAGCGCGAGTTTTAAGGAAATTTGGTGATTATGGAAGACTATTTCAGTTGGTTACAAGGTGGCAAATAGTTCAAAGAGTTTCCAAAGGCCAAACAATATCAAGACCTCACCTCTACCTTTACGAGTGGCAACTAAAAAATGAATTGAGTAATAAAGCCAAAGCGTACGATAATTGTCCACAATCTTGTATTAAACCGACTTATATTAGTAAATGGAATAATATTTCGTGTAATAGGACTAAACATAGATATTTTCCAATTAGTAGACAGTGTAGATTGATCAAGAGGATTCAAAAGTACAGATCGACCACTCCATTCATGCTGCATCACATATTGGATACAGTTTAGTAAGTGATATCACCAAGAAAAAGGAGAAATATCAGTATTATAGACGATCATGTGCAATACAATGTAAGCTGGAGGAACAAATAACAGATACATCAAGGAATTGATGAACTTTTACCGTTGTTTATAGATTCTTATATGATCTAAATGGATTGAAATGAAAACAAAAAATAAATGGAATATATGAGAAATTGAACAAAAAGTGTCTATAAACAATGCTTCTACGTTTTGAGCTCTCAAAACAGGGTGAACGGAAATGTAAATAACCGTTTTAAAAGTATTTTTCTATTGTACAAGAAATTAAACAATGCGTTAACGTAAACTGTTTGTAACAAAGGGAGTTGGTTTGCTTAAGCATGCGCTAAAATGAATCAGTTCAGGTCTATGTATTGAATCCAGATGAAATTGTGATATAATAAGTTAAAAAATATGATGATGTAGACTTGTAAATAACGTATTATTAGCTGTAAAGAAATCTCCCTCTTATTATTTTATTACTATAATTTATTTAGATAATGATAATAAGAACAAAAAATAAATAAACTAAGGGAACTGTAAAGAACTCAATACAGGTGAAAGATCAACGAACCAAAGAACCAGTTGGCTCGAAAACTTACTTATTTTATTATATCCTAGTACCTATTGTATGAGGCAGTATTATTATAAAAAGGCATTTTTAAGAGTATAACGTAAGTAGCTTCTACCACAATTATTAAAAATAATAAAAAAAACAAAGTAGAATAAGGTGAAAACAATAATACCTGTTTAATATTTCATTTCTTTTTTTGTTAGAAGTAGAAAAGGGGTTGTTTTCGAGAGGTAAAAATAATTTGGAGGGGCCAGTTAAAAATACTTTGTATACCATGTAGCATGTACGATTCGTTAGAGTTGGGGCGTTTTCGTTTTTACTCTCGGTACATAAACAAAATAATATAATGTATAGTTTTTTGATAATAACTAATAAAAGCGATTTTCAAGAAAACTTTATTATACTTTATTAAAAGCACTGTCTGTTTTTGCTTACGCAAATCAACCCGCATAATTCAACCTTAGTCTCATAGATGGCCCCTCGCAAACGAATTTCGTTTACACACCAAGTAGCCAAATACAACCCTAAAGAACTCAATCCAATCACAAAGGTAGCCAACCAACGTAACCTAATCAAAACCAATTGCAATGCGTGCTATCACAATCACAAAGGAACTCAATTACTAAATAACCCGACTCTAATGCAATTCCAACTCAAAGGAGAGCAATAAAACTACAAAGTAACTCAACCACAAAGTTATCTAATTCCAAAAATATATTTTATTACTAAAAATATTCAAAAATGTGTAAATCCACTCCTGCACAAGAAGTAATTTACGAAATAATTAGCAATTACCTTTAAAAAAAATTTAATTCCATAAAGCATTGAAATTAAACGCTTAATAGAATTAAATTAACTGACACACTTTGGTCGTTTCAACACAACTCGCGCACACAAAAAAAAGGGTTATGGTGGCGAAGGAATTTCTCTACAAAATGAAAGTTCCACGATTACTTAGTTTACTTCCCGATTTTACATCCGGATTTCGTTCGCTACGCTATTTAAAGGGAGAATGTATAAAGATACGAATCAGTCAATTCGTTATTTAGTGCAGTTTGAGACAAAATGAAGTTACCGTGGTGGGTTATCTTTATAGTTTTTGTTGTTATAATTCAGCGTGTGAATTGCGAAGAAGAAAAAGGCGATGAGCAAAAAGATTTAGAAAGTTTAAATAACCAAGAGATTAATAATAATAAAAAAGATGAACAAAGTGATGAAAAGAAACTGGAAGAAGAAGTAAATCATAGTAAATTAGAAAATTATAAAAAGAAACAAGCTGAAAGTGATAAAGTGAAACAAGAAAATTTTGAAGAAAAGGAAGGTCATAAAAGAGGACATCACACGAAAGGTTATCACAATAGTTTTTTTAAAGATGAAGTGCTCACCGAAAGAAAAATATTTGAATATCCACAAATAAAAAGTGTTTCAACCAGAAAGAAACAAAAAATTACTAGAAGAAAATATAAAGTGAAATCAAATCCAAGAAAAAACGATTTAAGTAGAAGTAGTAGCAATAAGATTAATAAGAAATCGAAAAAGAAGCGAAAAAATTCAAGGAGTAAACAAAAACCAATAAGATATACAAGAACCTAAAGTTAACATTTTTAAAAGAATATATATCTAGATATTAAGTTGTTGTAAATTATTTTATAAATAAAACCCAATAATTATTCTCTGACCATTATTTATTTTATCATGTCGTATGTTATACTTTAAACCATGCACACTAATTTTCACCTTGTTATTACTTCTTTTTAGGGAAATGTGGTGTTGTTACATAAGTTTTTACAGATGTTTCAGTTGGATGGGGTTCAATTACTGGTCTTTGATTAGTTCCAAGATAACTACAATAAGGAATTTCATAAACCAATTTCATTCCAATCTTTTCACAAATTTTTGCACTGAATTAAAAAAGATAAAAATAATAGTTATTTATATTACAAGTGGGCTAGAAACATAATCACACGAGTACTGTAATTATGCTATGTGTGATATACAACATTTTATCTACGACTGCTAAAAATTACTTAAAAATCAATTTCTTTAAGACGGTCTATTTTAACATTTATAAAAATATTTTGAAATGATTGTTGACAATTTTGAATTAATGTCAGTTTCAATAACATGTTACTCATCTGGAATAAGTGTTTCGAAATGTAAAAACATAACAATTAATGTTTATAATAAATAGTATTGTTTCTCTTTAAATAGGTAGCACTTTTTCTTTTGTATTGTTGCTGGTTTCAATAAATTAAGTCTGTTCTGATTGGGCTAAAAATGCGTTACATAATGAAATCAGTGCGGTAATGACCTTCATTACGTAACTCAAATCACCTCAAATGAGTGTGGTAATGATGACTTAGTAATGATCCAAGCAGTCGTAGATAAAATCAATTAATAAATTTATTATTTAATAAAATAAATATATTAATTTATTAACAAGTTATAAATCCGGAAATAATTTTGATTGTGTTGTTTGCCTTACCGGCTGTTTCCTATTATTTATTATCTATTAAATCGATAACCGTTAATATCGATGTAGCGGTCGTATTTATTGCTTTTCCTGTTAATAAAATAAAATTTTTTATAAAACTGTTTTAAATGCTTACGTTTTTGCGGTACTCGCATCAACCCTTATACAAGTAAACCCACAATCAGCACCAGTTTCTATTGATTTTTTAATTAATTGGCTAGCTAAACCCTTATTTCTTTCATCGGGTAAAACGAATAGATGGGAAATCTCAAAAATTTTTCTCGTACATGTTAAATTCCAAAGATTCGGCGCTCTTTGGATGTACGCCCAAAATTGAAATAATTGTCGCATTTTTTGATTGCTTAAAGTGCACGCAAACTTGTCCATAACGTCGGGATCCCATGGACAAGCTCCGCAATTAATGGCTCCTCCAACGATGCAACCGTCGTATTTACACTTTGCAATTAAACTTAAACCTTGTGATAATTCCCGTACAATTTCTTCTTCTAAAACGCTGTTCGGCATCTTTCCGACTCCAAGACATCTAACGATTGGTTCATCTCGAAAATAACTGTCGTACATTACATCGACAATTTCTGAGTAGTTATGTTTATCTGGTCTGATGATAATGTAAGAATTACTTTGTGTTTCGCCTTTTTTGTGTGCTGATCTTGTAGCAACCGTTTGAACGGTTTTCGTTCCCAAACCAAGAAGATGTTTAACTGTGAACTTGGTAATCAGTGCCATGGCGTGACTTGAAATTTTGATGAGCAGGTTTGTTCCAGGATGTCAGAGACTGTTTTGTTGAGACTTTGAGGATCAAATCATGGCCTGAAATGGATCATTGTTGATTCTTGAACATTTTGACGGTTGTTGATGTTGACAAACAAAGAATGACATTTCTAGGATAAAAAAAATCTAGGTAGAACTTGTTTCTCAAAACATTTATTAATAATATTTTTTTAATTTCATTTTGTTCTGGTTTATCTAACTTTCACTCGGTCTTTTCATCGGAAATAAAGAAAATAAAATTATCTGAAAAAGAAAGGTCAACTTTCTCTTAAAATTGCATAACTTCATAAAGAGAAAGGTGTATTAACTCACAAAATTAAGTCATTTCGGAGACATCTTTTAAATTATTTTTCTTAATCATTACAAGTTCAATAGCAAGGAAGTAATTTTTAGAAAACTATTAGGAGAAGACCTCTAATTTCGAGTAAACAAAATTTCTCTTGTGCAAGCTTATATAACCGTTAAACCGCAGCCTTTTAGATTAGAATATGGTTGTTGTGTCACGGTTTAAGCAAAAAACGATTTAGTTACACCGCCTTTTATATTTAAAAGACCATTGAACGGATAATGTCTTTTCATTTACACTGAAAACTTATACAAACATGGTCTCTAAATTCACGTTGTTAATATTGATCGTTACTTTAATAAGTTTAGCGACTACTTTTCCTGTTGAAAACAAAGATCAAAATAATAAGAAAGAGGTGGAAGAAAAAGATCAAGAGAAAAAGCAAGAAGATAAACCAAAAGTGCAACAAAAATCATGTAAGTAAAGTATTTTTTTGATCAAATTTGGGGGAAATAATTATTATTTGTAGATAAATACTCATATTATCGCGAATATGGAGATCCTGATGAAGGTGATAAAAACGATAAAGGATTTATGAGAAAAACTGATGAAGGAGGAAGTAAAGGATACAAACACTTTGATAGCTTTGAGAAGAAAGGTGGTGATAAATATGAATTTCATGACCACAAAGAATTTAGAGAAGTAAAAGATGATGAACAAGACTCTGATAAAGAGGAAGAGCAAAAAGGTGGTAAGAAGGAATAAGATATATTTATAAGATGTTTTGTTATTATTTTTTTATATTGTTATTTTCTTTAATCTTGCCATTATATTGTTTTTAACAAATCTATGTTGCTTTATTTGTTTCTTATATCCTTAAAGTTCTCTTTTTGCTTTTGTGTTAACAAATATCCATTTTCTTATTAATCCTAACTCTTTAGGATCATTTTAATTTGATTTTATAAAAAACCGAAAAATTTAAGGCTCTAGTTTCTAAGGTTTAGGTTAAGGCGTTTTAAAAAGAACACTTTTAACAATAATTCAAAGTACAGCTCGTATCTTGACATCCCGAAATAAATTCAGAATGATTTTTTGAATGTAAGCTTAATTATGACAATTTTACTAAAAGCTTATAGGTTAGAGTTCCACAGTTTAAGCTATATATCTCAAAATTTTTCTCATTAACCTTAATGGTTTATATATATCATTTTAAAAAGGAAATTTTTAACTTAAATTATTGATATAAATGATATCTGTGTGTCTGGAAATCAGCCCAGAATGATTTATTAAAGAATCATTGGTTTTATTAAAAAAGTTAAGCTTTAGAGTTCCAGTTTGTAAGCTGTATCTTCAAAGTTTCTTAATCAATTTTAATCAGCTATATATCGTTTTAAAGAGAGAAACTTTTAGCCTTAATTCAAAGTATGATACGAGCTATGTATCATTACGCCCAGAAATTAGTTTAAATCAATTTTTTTAGCTGTATCGGTTAAAACCCCAATTTGCAAGGTTGTCTTTAAACTTTTTTGGATGGAATCTGCTTTAAAGTAGAATATTGGGTCATATATCTTCTTAAAGCCAGAGGATCGAGCATTAATTTGATGTAACAGTCACTTAATAATTGTTCATTATTATTTTTAGATGGGGATAACATGGAAGTAGCAGAAAGTAAAAACTACCTTAGTTTTGCACACGACTGGGATGAGTAAGCTAATTTTATTTCCTTTCTATTAAAATGTTACTTAATTTTCTTATTATCAAGTTAAGTAAACTGATAAGTAATACAAAGTACAAACTTCGTAACGCTACACGTGCTTCATAAATAATTAAGGAATTCTTAATAATACATTTATTTTAGCGACCACGCAATACCACATTTTGATATTGATTGGGAACATTTCTTCGATCATCACGACCATGGAGATGTTAGTCACGATCATGAAGCTCATCCAGATAATGATGAACATACACATGATGTTATAGAACATGATGATATCCCAAAACACGATGCTGCAGATCACGATCATCATATACCACATTTTGATATTGATTGGGATCACTTTTTTGATCATGATCAAGGGGAAATTCCTAAAGATCATGAATCTCCTACAGAGCATATTAATTATTCAGATCATGATGATCATTCGGCTCATGATGTTCCTCCAGAAGATAATCAAGACAACAACAATACAAAAAAAGATGAGGAAGATCATCACGATATTGAATTTGATTCCGATCCAACATTTGATCATATACCCGAAGATGATCCAACTCAAGATCATGACCACGACCATCATTAGTAAATAAATATTGTTAATTGATAAGAAAAAACAATAAAGAAAATTGCCAACTTAGTTGTAATTGAAATCTTATTTGAACAAGTTTAGTAAATATTGATAGAACGATAAGAAAAAACTTTTTATTTCCAAATGGGCAACTAGAATAGTAGTTCATTAATCAGTACCGTTCTAAACACAATTAGATGTAACTGTCAACATATAAACAATTCTGATATTATTTTTTTTGCAACGAATCGTATCTTAGTACGTGAGCCGTTATCGCTTATTGTCTCTCTACTTTTCGACTTGCAAACAACCTCTACCAACATTTTAACACGTATCATTATCTAGATAATCTCATTACGTTTTCGATCACTATCGAAAGAAACAAACTGAAAAACAATGAAAATCGCAAATTGTTATTAATAATTAGATTATCTTTCGGGGTAAGGATAAAATATAATCCCTTTGTCTTTAGAAACAGAATCATTTCGCGCGGTTAATCCAACGAGAATGCCCGGAAGTGATATTAAAAAAGTTGAACTCGAAGACGATGAATATGAAACTTATTTTACCCGACAAAGGGTTGTTATTCCAGATGACGATAAGGTAACGATTAATTAATTTAAATTTTTATTATTAAATTTTTTGATTCAGCCCGGATTTAGTTTTCGAAAACTTTGGGCATTCTCCGGTCCCGGATTATTGATGTCTATTGCTTATTTGGACCCCGGAAATATCGAAAGTGATCTTCAATCGGGAACTATCGCGGGATATAAATTATTATGGGTACTTTTAAGCGCAACCGTTTTAGGATTGGTGGCTCAAACTTTAGCAACAAGATTGGGTAAGTTAATAATGATGTGGCAAAAGCGGTTTAAAAGTAGTACTTTGAAGGTGTTACAACGGGGTTACATTTAGCTGAGATGTGTCATCGTCAATACAAAAAATTTCCGCGGCTTTTAGTGTGGATAATGGTTGAAATCGCTGTAATCGGTTCTGATATGCAAGAAGTCATTGGAACTGGAATTGCGATTTATTTACTTTCAAATAAAGTGTAATTTTTTTTAATTATTTTAATTTTAATTTATTCTAATTTTATTTTTTTTAATTAGAATTCCTTTATGGGCTGGTTGTATAATAACAATCATAGACACCTTCACATTCTTATTCTTAGACAAATACGGGCTTAGAAAATTAGAACTTTTCTTTGCATTTTTAATATCAGTAATGGGAATAACTTTTGGTTATGAATACATCGTAGCTGCACCAAGTCAAGGATCAGTTGTACAAGGAATGTTCTTTCCTTGGTGTAAAGATTGCAATTCCGACGCTCTTTTGCAAGCCGTTGGAATAGTAGGGGCTGTAATTATGCCTCACAATTTGTATTTGCACTCAGCTTTAGTGAAATCGAGGGAAGTCGACAGAAAGAAGCCGGAAAAAATTAAAGAGGCTAATTTTTATTATTTAATTGAAAGTAGTATTGCTTTATTGATCAGTTTTGTTATCAACGTTTTTGTGGTTTCCGTTTTTGCTTACGGACTTCATCACAAAACTAATACAGAAATGGTAAGATTTAAAAAATTTATTAAACTGCATGTAATAAATTAATATTTGATGCGATTTTAATAAATTCCAGTTGGATAGTTGCGAAATAAATGGTATTGATGCTTTCGATGTTTTTCCGGTGAGTTTAAATAAACTTTATTTACAAACTAATAAATCTAAATAAATTTCGTTTTAGAATAACACTGAATATGTAAACGCCGATCTTTATAAAGGTGGAATTTTCTTGGGGTGTACTTTCGGTTCGGCCGCTCTTTACATTTGGGCCGTTGGGATTTTAGCAGCTGGTCAAAGTTCAACTATGACGGGAACATATGCCGGACAATTCGCTATGGAAGGTTTCTTAAATTTAAAATGGGCCAGATGGAAGAGAGTGTTGTTCACTAGAACTATAGCTATTATTCCAACGTTCTTTACTGCTTTCTTTAGCACCATCGAGGATTTAACGGATATGAATGATATATTAAATGCCGTTATGAGTTTGCAATTACCATTCGCTGTTATTCCTACGATAGCTTTTACGAGTAATCCCAAAATTATGGGCAAATTCACCAATGGAATGTAAGTAAATTAGTTTTAATTTTAAACAATTTATGTATTAAATTAAATTTGTTTATTATTTTTAGAGTTTTAAAAATCGTTGCGTTCTTATTATCAGCCGCTGTAATTTCGATTAACATTTATTTCGTTTATTCAACTGTGGAAGAAATGGACCTTAACGCTGGAGCATTATCAGGCGTGCTTATAGTAGCTGTTTTATACGTAATGTTAGTTATATATTTAATAATTCATTTAACAGCATCGATAAATATAAACACAATCGGCCAAAAACCCTTCATAAAAAAATATTTCTTAGTTGATAGCGATCATAACTTGGAATTAAAGATATAATTAAATATTTCAAACATTATTTTTTTTTAATGTTAAAAATCGAAACATTACGAAGGAATGGTGTGCGTCCAGGGACTTTTAATGCAAATTAGCATCCTCATAACGGTGTCCTCTCCTGAATATTAATGCGTCAGATGCATCTCTCGGCTTATGAGCGCCATTAATTTTTATGAAAGCGTTCCTCGCGGACTCAGAGAGGTAAAAATCTCCGGACTAACTAACCGGAGTGAGATCCATCACCAAGTGTCATACTCCGGGTAAAACGCCTTGATTAATAGCTGGTACAACTTGCACAATTATCCTTCTAAACCCAGGTCGTGAGCTCTCTTTAACAATTATCCTGTTATTAATCGATTTTTGTAACGTTGAATAGTTGAGCTTTCTGAAAGGAAAGGTGATTGTGAAAAAGAAAGATGAACAGGTGACTCAGTTAATTGTTGTATTCAAACTATAAATGTACTTGATTTATTTGCAGAAGCAGTATTCAAGTAACTATTTAAGTTAAATCTTTCCTCTTGAATTTGTCCTATAATCAAGATTTCCCAGCAGATTCAGTCTTAATCGTTCCATCTTTATTAGGGGCGAAGTACTTGATTTATACAATGTTTTAACAAAATTAATTTTTTATTTAAGTCATATCTTTTGTCAGATTGTGTATAATTAGATGGCACATATCTTTGTGCCACAAACATTAAAAATCGGAAAAAAAATAATAAATATTCTATGAAGATTGATATTTAATTTAAACATAAGATCATCGTTCCATGTTAATTATTGACGAAGTTATCTACCAATATTTGAAAATTGGTTGATTTTGACAATGTTTTAATAAAATTAATTTTAGTTGCATTTATTTAAAAATTTATATCTTTTGTGTATAAAAATCTTGTAAATCAACAACTTTTCTACTTTATCCATTGTTATAGATAGGCTACTTAACTAAATCATCTCGTATAAGTCAATAACCTCGTGCCTTTTGGGTTCCAAATAATTCGATAAAATTCGGTAGAAAGGAACCTTTTTCGTGGTTGGACTACAGGATTAATATATACCCCTTGGGAATGGTAACACGTCCCTACAATCCCTACACGTACAACTCTAGACGTTGGAAGGATATCGTGTAACAAAACCGGAAAATATTTTACGGGGATAAATCCAACAAAACATGACGGTTCCTTACACAAATTGAAAGTGAGATATAAAAGGGAATAATATAACTAGATCTTACTAGATGTTTTAATCTTCCAAAAATCTTATTACGTCAAGGACAACAGGAAGGGAAAACGTTTTAATTATTACCTGAGCTGTACTTAGCAGGAAATTAGAACTCAATTATTTACAGCTTAAACGCTTCCATTCGCAAGTCGTTATCACGAGATAAAGTAGCACTTAAACAGGATCTTAATATTAATAAGCTGTGTAGTTTAGATCGTTTAAACTTCAAAGAGAAAAAATATATTTTCCGTAATAAATAACTTCCAACAATAACACTAATTTTAACATTGACGTTTGAAACACAATCAATCAACTTGAAAGCCTTTTTTGCTTTTAAAAGGGCCAAAGAAAACTTCTACGACGGGATTTTCTATAAGAACCGGAAAGAGGGTCCGACGAAGACCAATTTAAAAATTTAAAAGTGAGGGTACCACTATTTATTATCGAATTTTCAATAAAACTGGGATCTTCACCTGACTGCAACGCGTTATCGCTAATTGGATCGATAATCAGATGTCTACGGCGATATCTGTTATATGGTACCAGTGGGTTTTCCATTTCCAGTTGAAAGATCAAAGGATCTTCTCTCCATTGAGACGCGGATTTCTGTTTCAATGCCTGCGACTTCCCTTCTTGTGTAATTTAACCGGTTTCTCAAGAGATAAACCATTTTGTTCTTATCAATTCTCTTGTTCGTTATTTTTAGATTTAAATTGAATAAATTGTTAGTTTAATATTGGTTAATTTTGACAATCTCAAAAATAATGAAGAAACGAAATTCATTAGAAATATTCTATTGATCTTTCATTTAAATCTAATAAGTTCCATCTTAATTAGAGACAAAGTCATCAACTTTTGAAAATTGATTGATTTTCGTAGAAAAAATAATACAAAATAACTTTTAATAACTCAATTGTGATAAAGGGATCGTTGACCGTCGTCAGATTTCGCACAAAATCGTGGTGTCGTAGTCCATGAACGTTGAAAGGGCCAGTTTCAACCTGACGGTCGTCGAGCGTGTTTCAGATGCTCACGTGGGCGACGAACGCGCAAACGACCGGAAGCAGGATCATGCGCGTTTTCGGGTGATCCCTTTGAATTGCGCGCGCGTTAGGGTTAACAACTATCGCTGGAGCGTCCCAGAGAAGAACGACAATTTAAACCGCTACAGAACGTAAGTCTTCCGCACGGTTGCTAATTATCCTTTGTAGCAGGAAATGTGTAATTAAGGCGGACGGCAAATACTTTCGGCCTGTACTTGATCTTGCAGGGTAATTACTATGTGTTTTAGGTCCGAAATACGGTAAATGGTTGAAATAACAGTAATTACTGGAAATTTTAATTAAGAAACGTACAATTTTTAATTAAAAACAGAAGGGGCTTTTTTGAATTTCGTTATAAAAATTATATTTGCGCTCGTGTACGGTGGAATTCGGTGAAGATAAGAATCCTCTTTAAAATCCAAGCTCTTTTTCGAGTCGTCCCTATTCTAAAAGAGCCCTCCTTTCGCGGATCTCGAGATTCTCGGTCGAGAAATGCACAGTCGTAATAAAAATAGCGTCGGGTCTTTTGTTGGTTTGAGAACGTGTCGGAACAAGCCGGGTTCGCGTATCTTTCTACGCTAATGCCTTGTCTTTCACAATATGCCTCTCAACCAAGAACGAACTCGCTAAAAGCGTCATAGAGAAAATACGAGGACACATGACACGTAGAAATACTTTTTGACGTGTTGAAACTTTGATTTCTTTCTTAACTTTAAAAGAAAATTAATTTAACTTAATAAATGTTGCTTGCCAAGAATTTTTTGTTTGAACGATGTATCATCGTTGTTATGAGATGTACAAAAAATACTAATTAATCCCTGAAATGGCCGTGTAAAACCATGTTACTTTTTCAGTTGAATAGATGGTTGGTAGGTAACACACCTGAGCCTTGGATAAAAATTCAGAGCACGGTGATAACGCAAGTAGTTTGTTCCCATTGCACTAATGGCGTTGGGTCTCGCCGACAAACAATGAACCTGTATGACGCTCTTAACACGTCCGTAACAATAATTTCTAGGGGGCAATTTATATGCAACATTTTTTGCAACAAAAACTTGACACAACGTTAACGCGCGGTCGCGCTCTGCGAAGTTAATTTAACTTTAAAATGCGCGTTTTGCCTGCGCGCGGACGTGTTTATTCGAAAAGTTTCGAAAAGTTGTGCCAGACAATGCCTACGGTGCCGTTATTCAACACGCAACTTGCTCGGGATATATTTCAACAGGATGCATGGCTTCTCCGCTTAAAAAGGACTATTCGAAAAGGAGCCGAACCAAAAAGTTTATAAAACTTAAATCCGATGCGGAGCAACCGGAACTTTTAAACTAATCATTTTTGTTTTACTTTTCTAAAATTCGTTTCTTTTCTAATTCATTTTCAAGGATGAAAAAGGATGGGAAATTTGCTTGCTTTGTGTCGATTGTTGCAGGTATAGGGCGAAGTCAAACAAACTGTGGCGTCGCACGGTGGGTTAAATCAATAAAACCGTATTGACGGCCGTTCTTTATATAGAAATCCCAGGATTTTGGCACCACCTATTTATTTTACCTGTTGATGAAAACTCTATAGCTTAAAAAAACTTATTGTGTAAAGATTTTAAAAATAAAATTACTTTAACTTTACTGAAATTTATTTGACAAGGTTATCAACGTTCAACATCAAGATTCAACTCTCAAATCTTTAGATCTGTAATTCTGCTCAATTGAATGACCACTCATCAAAGACCACCATTTTTCCCTAAACCTCTAGGCCTTACCGTTATCGAGATACAGCCGCTCCGTACCCTTAACGGGACACCTGTATAGAAGACTGACTAAAGTTACCTGTTCGTTTGGCTTAGTAAGATAAGTAAGATATGTGATACTTATACAATTCTTAATATCTCTAATAATTATAATCCGCGATATCGTGCAACATCGTCCCTCCCTTTCTCATTGCTATTCTGGATTCTCGCAACAACATCACTTAGCAATCCTGTTCACATGACATCTTTCTATACTGTACATAATCAAAAATATTGCTCAATACAATTCTGGTCATACAACATTTTGTTCATTATCATTCTTGATAATATCATCCTAACTGGCCTGCTTCAAAAACATCTTTGATATCAAATTTGGCGGTGATTATCACTGTCTTGGTCCGCAATATTCCTTAACATTATGCCTGGCATTCTCTAACACTGGCTCAACTTTTGTCATCATCTTCTTCATCCTATCTCAAAACCTCACTATATCGATATTGTCTGTCTTCAATATTGTCAATGCTGCTCTGACTTCCCCCAACATCTTTTCCATCATATATTTACACCTCAATTCCTGTATAGCTGTTGATACTTTTGATCAGGAAATTGGGACTGAATGTTTATTATTTTGTGCATTAAAAGATTTAGTAGTACTTGAAACTTAATTATTAATTTTCGTTTAGATTAATATGAAATATATAATATAAAAAGCGTAACATGTAACAATCCTCAAGTGAACTGGTACGAATTTAATCCGACGACTTGCTGAGGATTCGTCCAAAATGAAATGTAAATAAAGTGGCTCTTCGGCTTTTATGAATAATACATGAAATTCGGCGGTGGATTTTTTCCACCACCGTTCGCTGTTTTCATTAATCCTGGCTGGCGATACGGGATGCGTCCGGACAAAAGTACGTTCGAATAAAAGGTGAGAGAGTTCGGATAAGCGTTGGAAAGTTTGTGGATTATTGTTTCGGCCGTGCTCTCTCTCGGCATTGT